CTCGCCGCCTCTTGCAGCCCGTGCAGGGAGAGAGCGCCGCCGCCCTTGAGTGCCGGCGCCGACGCGCCGCCCGCCTTGAGCCGCCGGAGCCTCCGCATGAGCGGCTTGAGACCCTTGTCCGGCGAGCTCTTGCCGAAGAGCAGCACCTTCCACTTGTTGAGCGTTGCCTTGCGCAGCTCCTCCTCGCGGCACGAGGCGGCGAGGGGCGGCGGCGGGGTGATGGCCGCCAGCGGGCCACCCACGGGCGCAGTCACGCCCTCGTCTGGCGTGGCCTGCTCCGCGACAGCGCCGTCCGGCGTGGCCTCCGTGACAGCGCCGTCCGGCGTGGCCTCCGTGACAGCGCCGTCCGGCGTGGCCTCCGTGACCGCGCCGTCCGGCATGGCCTCCTCCGCGCTTCCGCCGCTCTCTGCCGGTGACTGTGGGACGGTGAGGCCGACGGTGAGGCCGCGGCGCTTGGCAACCTTGTCCTGCCGCAAGTGCCTGCCCAGCCGCCGCCTTGCAGCTGCGCGTGCCGATGTTCCGGCAATCGTCCCAGAGGCCTCTCGGATTGGCGGCGGCAGGGCGGCGACGGGTGGCGCAATGTCGCTAGGACTCGGAGTCACCGTCTCGTCCCCCGTACCAGAGGCCTCTCCTTGAGCCTTGATTGGTGACGGCGGCAGGGCGGCGATTGGTGGCGCCTGACGGGTGTCGCTAGGACTCGGAGTCGCCGTCTCGTCACCCTCGGCACGAACGAGCAGGTAAATCAAGTTTCCTTGCGCCAGTCCCGCCTCAGCCACAGACGCGTTCGAAACTGCCACAATTGCATCCGTCCCGTTCAGGGAGAGACTTGCCGCATCGAGAGAGCACGAAGCCGCGGCCGCCGCCTGCGCGAGGAGGTCTGAGAAATTTGTGCTCGAATCAACCTGCAGCCTGATGGTTTCGTTCTCGGGCGTCCGGATCCGAATCAGCATGCCTCCGGAGAGGTGGCTCTCTCTCGGAGACCAAGTGAGCACACAGAGCAGAGCGCACGCAATCAAGACACTCTCCGCGGTGTTCCAGGTTCTTTTTTTTTGCCTTCCACTCACTTCAGCTCGCAAACACTCACCCATTTGATTGTCACTGTCCGTGAGTGCGAGATTAGGGCTAGCCGCAGGCAGCTAGCCCATGAGGAGGGCGTCCGTAGACACCTCACTAGACCCCACATACGGTCTCGTCCGTGCCTCGCCGGCCGGAGAGATTGCTAGAGGTGGAGCATGCTGCTCTAGCCTCACATGTCACTTCCTGTCGTCTGTTGTTTGTTGTGCCCTTGTTTGTTTCTCTTGGCACCTTGGAGTGCTGGGGGGGGCGACAGGGAGGATGTGGCCTTGAGTTATGTGTACGCCAACTCAGGGTGTGTGGCAGCCAGCTGGCTGTGTGTCTTGTGAGCTTGTTTGTGTCTGTGTGTCGTTCGTGCGTGTCGTCATCATCTGTCCAGCGTCCACCCATACCGCGTTGGTGTCCAGTCCGAGCCTGGCTGTTCTTCACCTTTCTACCTACCTACCTACTCACTCACTCCTCTCTTGCTCGAGCGGCTGGCCAACAAAAGCAAAAAGAAGTTTACCACAAAACTCCCTCGCACAACACTAGGCACGGGACTGGCGCCTTCTCACCTAGGTACGGGACCCCTCGATCGTTGCAGCCGTGGCCGCACCCGCGGCGGCAGTCGCGGCAGCTCCCTCGAGGCGAGATGAGGCCCGCTTGTTATGACCCCCCCCAATGAACACACCAGTGAGGGTGGGCGAGACGATCGAGGGGTCCCGTACGCGTACCATGCGGAATCGACCCTTGAGCACTTGAATGCGGAATCGACCCTATCAAGTGCTCAAGTGCTCAAGGGTCGATTCCGCATGGTACGGGACCCCCGTTCACCGTCTTTCTTAAAGTCAGGAACGGGCACCTCGTTGCGAAGGGAAAAGAATCTCTAGCCTCCCAAGTCATACGCCACGGCGTGCGATCTTAGAATCAGCACATGCGCCTCGCTCGCATACACTCATACAATGAACTGACATCTCCCATGAGTGCGAGTTAGGGCTAGCAGTAGGCAGCTAGCTAGCCTGTGAGGAGAGCGTCCATAGACACCTCACATGACCCCACACACGGTCTCGCCCATGCCTTGCGGCTGGCGGCGAGATTACTAGAGGCGGAGCAAGCTGCTCTAGTCTCGCATGTTACTTCCTGTCGTCTGTTGTCTTGTTGTGCCCTGAGTTATGTGTACGCCAACTCCGGGTGTGTGGCAGCCACAGCTGGCTGTGTGTCTTGTGAGCCTGTTTGTGTCTGTGTGTCGCTCGTGCGTGTCGTCATCATCTGTCTAGCGTCCACCCATACCGCGTTGGTGACCAGTCCGAGCCTGTGGCTGTTCTTCACCTTCCTACATACACACATAGCGAGAGGCGCTCCGCCTTTCCCTCTCTTTTTCCACACGCCTACGTGGTCCGTCCGCGTCCAATCCTCTCTACCCAACGCGGCCACGAGAACCGGACCCCTTTTATTGAGGAAACGAGAAGAATTCTCAGAAAAGAAAGAAACTCAGCGCGCGGCGGGCGTTCGAATGGGGCGGCAATAGAGAGAGTCGGAGGGAGGGAGAGATGAGGCGCGAATAGAAAAAAAGTAAACGTCGAAAATTGTGTCCATGGCGCTCCTGAGTCTAGCGCGCGGCTGGCCGACGCTGCTGTCCGCCCGGCCGGCTCATCGCAGCCTGGGTGTGACCGCGGCGGACGTTGGGACACCTTGGCTGCCGCTCCCAACAGCAGGCGACACCATGGCGCTCGGCGCCGCGCTGGCCGAGCGCGCGCGTGCCGGCGACACGCTACTGCTGCACGGAGGGTACGGTGCGGGCAAGACGTGCCTGGCACGCGGCTTTATCCGTCGGTGGCTGGGCGACGAGGACGCCTCGCTCCACGTCGCCTCGCCCAGCTACCTGATTGACAACACTTACCCCGACGAGGAGGGCGGCGCGCTGCAGCCAGGCGGCCGTCACTAGGACACACGCACAGCACGCCACGCACGCACAGCACGCCACGCCACAGCACGCACAGCACGCGCAGCAAGCACACGCACGCGCACACAGACATGGACACGCACGCACAATCTGCAGAGCTTGGTGGTCCTCTAGCCTGCCTCTCTGTTTTCGCTCAGGCGTCACCGTGCACCACATGGACCTGTGGAGGCTGCCTGAGGGCAAGGCGAGGGGCTAGATGCGGAACGGAGTCCAACCTACCGGCCGCGGCACGCAGTGGCCAGACACGACGCCCTCCTCACCCAGGGCGCCGCTGTCTCCAACCTCTCAGGTGGGGCAGCTCGTCGACCTGCCCGCCGTCTTCCGCGACTGCGTCTCACTCGTCGAGTGGCCGGAGCGGCTCTCGCCCACAGAGGCGCAGCTGATGGCGGCGCCTCTCGAGGCGCTCGCCCACACCTCCTCTCTCTCGGCTCCAGCCTCCGCGCCCCGCCTCCGCCTCGGATCCGCCACGCGCCACGCCGCCTCCCAACACCCGCCTTCCGGCAGGTGCACCTCCGGTTGGACGAGGAGGCCGCCGCGAGGATGGCCGACCCGGAGGGGGCGGCCGCCGCGCTGGAGGACGGCGAGGACCTGCCGCGGTGGGCGCGGCTGGTCGCGCGGGGCGAGGCGTGGCAGGAGCGGCTGTCGGCGATAAAGCTAGAGAGCGACTTTGCGGAGTGAAAGAGCAGCGCACGGTGGTGCGTGCGGAAGATTTATCATTCATAGGATAGCCCATGTATGCCTGAGTCACATAGTTGAAATAAACGAGACGGGGAAGGGCGGGCAGTCGCACTCGCAGAGCATCTCAGCTTGGCGTAAGGAAAGCGCCGGATAAAAAACTCCACCCACTCCCACAAAAGTCCTCTCACCTCACTCCGCTCCCCCTTTTAGTGGTGCCGGTGGAGATCGCGGAGCCCCCTTGAACAGACAAGACCACGGGACAGCGAGCTCACCCCCCTCCCCCTC